TTGGGATCTCTTGAGAAGCCTTCTGGAGCATGTTCGATAGCTCTTTCAGGTAAAACTGTTTGCATGAATGTCTTAGACAAATTCTATACCAACTCTTGGATCATAGACTCTGGTGCTACTGACCATATGACCCCCACATCTCAACTCTTCCAAGCCTATACCCCATGTCCAAGTAATAGAAAAATTATCATGGCCAATGGCTCTTTAGCTACCGTTGCAGGGATTGGTGATATACATATCACACCTAGCCTTATCCTTAAAAACGTTCTTCATGTACCCAAACTGTCAACAAGCATTGTGTCCATCCAAAAATTGACTCATGATCTCAAATATTATGCTGTTTTTTTCTCTTCTTATTGTGTTTTTCAGGAACAGGACTCAGGGAGGAGGATTGAACTTGCTAAGGAAATGAGCGGTCTTTACCACCCTGAACCATCCCAGAAAATTAGGAGCAATTTGTCTTCATCTTTCCTTGATTCCTCGAACAAAGATGTCATTGGCTGTATCACTTACGTTTCGGTCATCCCTCTTTTGGGGTTCTAAATATAATGTTTCCTCATTTATTCCAAGGATTAGATATTTCTGAGCTTCATTGTGACATTTGTGAATTGACAAAACATACCCGTGTATCTTTTCCTATTAGCAATAAAAGAAGTTCTCATCCTTTTCATCTGATTCATAGTGACATATGGGGTGCTTCCACTATACCTAATGTTTCTGGGGCTCGTTGGTTTGTATCCTTAATTGTTGATTGCACCCGGGTTACATGGCTCTTCCTTCTTAAACAAAAATCTGATGTTAGCACTGTTATACCTAATTTTCATTCAATGGTTCAAAATCAAATTGGGGTCAAAATAAAAGACTTTAGGACATACAATGCTAGGGACTACTTCAATCAAATTCTATCACCTTACTTTCAATCACATGGGATTATCCATGACTCATCATGTGTGGACACACCCCAACAAAATGGGGTAGTTGAAAGAAAGAATGAGAGCATTTACTCAACACCACTCACTCAACACCACTCGAGCATTACTATTTCAAGGGAATGCTCCTAAGTCTTATTGGGGAGAAGCCGTTCGTACTGCCACATATATGATCAATAGACTTCCTTCCCGTGTGTTAGAAAACAAAAGCCCCATAGAGGTCCTAAATAGCTTCTACCCTCACTTCATAACCTCAAATGGCCTCACTCCCAGGGTATTTGGGTGTACTGCTTTTGTTCATGTCCACAAACAACATAGAGGGAAGCTAGATCCCAGAGCCATCAAATGTGTTTTCCTAGGTTACTCCTCCACTCAAAAATGATATAAGTGTTACAATCCCTCTACCAGAAAATTTTACATCTCTGCAGATGTCACTTTCACAGAAAATAAATCCTTTTTTTTTTTCTAAGTCCTCTCTTCAGGGGGAGATTTCCATGATGGAAGATAATACTTGTGAGCCCTTTGAACCACTTAAAACCCTTGACCTTCCACATGTGCCAACCCGTGTTGTTGAACCTGAATCAACTCTCCTCCTGTTCCAACTGAACCCGAGTCCTCTGAACCAATCACATCTGAGTCACCTGATCCTGAACCTTATCATCTCCTACTCCAACCAGTGTCACTCACGATTTCCCAAGATTTTCTCAGGTGTAGTCAAGGAGAAAAGCCGTTCCTGAACTGACACAAGTTCAAGAATCCAATCCACTATATCCACTATTTCACTATGTATCTCTCAAGCGCCTATCACCAGCTCACACAAGTTGTGAGTTTGAACACCATTGTCATTCCTAACAATGTGTCTGAGGCATTGTCAAAAGGGGAATGAAGGGACACTATGAAAGAGGAAATGAGTGCATTATAAAAGAATAAAACATGAGAGATCGTTCACAAATCGAAGGAAAAAAACATTGTTGATTGCAAGTGAATTTTTATATTGAAGTACAAGGCTGTTGAATCCCTTGAAAGATATAAAGCAAGGTTAGTAGCCAAAGGGTACACTCAGACTTACGGGTGGATTATTAGGAAACATTTGCTCCAGTTGCAAAAATGAACACTAGGAAAATCCTGTTATCATTGGCTGCTCACTTTAATTGACAACTGCTACAGTATGATGTTAAGAATGCATTCCTTCATGGTGACCTAAATGAGAAAATCTACATGAACATCCCTCCGAGATTTGAAGGGGACACAGGTAACAAGGTGTGCAAGCTCAAAAAGACCATTTATGGGTTGAAACAATCTCCTAAAGCATGGTTTGATAGATTTGCAAGAGTCATGAAGGAATCTGGGTATAAATAAAGCCAAGGTGACCACACTCTTTTCATTAAACATTCAGTTGTAGGGGGAGTGACTGCTCTTTTAGTCTATGTGGATGACATCATAAAGAATGGAAATGATGAGAAAGAGAAGCATGAATTGAAGCTGAGACTAGTAAAAGAATTTGAAACAAAGGAATTGGGGAAATTGAAGTACTTCCTCGGTCTTGAGATGACATATTCCACACAGGGGATCTTCAT